TTGTGGATATGTTTTACCTTGGTTACTGAACAATCTTTATAGTAGAACTAAAATATTTAATCAACGAATGTTATCTAAAACCATGTTAATAGTGAGCTGGTTGCTCCAAAATTTGTTTCTTAGCCCTTTAAATCGTTCTGATGAAACAAGAGTACACTCTAGAAGCCAAAAACTACAGGGAATTCTGTGGTGGCTGACCAATTCAAATATTGTTTTCTTTTTGATTGGTTTGTGGGCTTCTTTGATTCTATCACTCTGTTTGGTTTTGATTTCCAAAATTCACTTTTTAGAAAATTTTACTTTTTTGTTACCGATTTTTTTTTAATATTTTAAGCATTTTTTTTAATTTTTAGATACACCTGACATAAATATACTTGAAAAGTATAATATTTGTGAAATTGTTTTAAAAAAAATTCACTGAACACCAAAAAAAAAAAAAAAAATTCAGTACATTTTTCGTATTTTTGTGTATTTATTAATTTTTTTAAAATATTTTACTTTATAGATACATCTGTGCATCTAAAAAAATAAAAATAAAAATGCTTAAAATTTTAAAAATATTCACTAAAAACAAAAAACTCAATTTCCAGAAAATTGAAACCAAACACACTAAATGTTTTTTATTTTTTATTTTTTTGGGGGGCCTGCAGGCTGATGTGGTTGAACGTCTTCGACTTCATTATAAGAAAGATCTCTTGAAGATTGTGGATATTGTGCTTTCTCATCAGGTAAACACACAAATTTAGATTTTAGATGTGCTCAGCTGGGTCACGCTTTTCTAATGCACTTGCTGCTTATATAAAATTAATTTTCTTTGGCACCATGTGTGTTTGTTGGTTTCTAGGGCGTCAAGGGTAAAAATAAGCTGATACTAAAACTCATGGAACAATTGGTGTACCCTAATCCTGCTGCATACAGGGATAAACTAATCCGATTCTCTGAACTCAACCATACTAATTATTCTGAGGTTGGAATTCTATAGAGTTGTTTTTTTTTTCTTTTTTCTTTTAGTCTTTTAAACTTGAGGTTTCTTAAGTAATTGTTATTAATAATTCTTTAGAATGGAGTTTTAAATCCCAGCTTTATTTTACCAGTTGGCACTGAAGGCAAGTCAACTGCTAGAACAGACCAAATTGAGCGAACTCCGATCCAGCATTGCTAGAAGTCTTTCTGAATTAGAGATGTTTACCGAAGATGGTGAAACTATGGATACTCCTAAGAGGAAAAGTGCCATTAATGAACGGATGGAGGATCTCGTGAGCGCTCCTTTAGCAGTTGAAGACGCCCTTGTGGGTCTTTTTGATCACGGTGATCACACCCTTCAGAGGCGGGTTGTAGAGACTTATGTCCGTAGACTCTACCAGGTACTGTTGTGTAAACTCTTAATTCATCTTCTTATCTTACTGTCAGACAGTTTGTACCTAACACTTGATATCTGTTATCAGCCCTACCTTATGAAGGGCAGCGTCAGGATGCAATGGCACAGATCCGATCTTATTGCTTCGTGGGAGTTCTTCGAAGAGCACATTGAAAGAAAGAATGGATCTGAAGATCAAATGTTGGACAAACCATTTGTTGAGAAACACACTGAGAAGAAATGGGGAGCAATGCTCATCATCAAATCTCTTCAGTTTTTGCCAACAGCGATAAGTGCTGCATTGAGGGAAACAACCCATGATAGACATGACACCATTCCAAATGGATCTATTGAGCCAACTAGCCATGGTAATATGATGCATATTGCATTGGTCGGAATCAACAACCAGATGAGTTTGCTTCAGGACAGGTATGCAACGTACTTTTATGCCCTTCCTTTTGATGATTTGATTATTCTATTCAATTTGTGAATAGAATGTCAAGTTATAACCTTCTCTTCTTTAATGGTATCGTCACCTGGGTCTGTGCAGTGGTGATGAGGATCAAGCTCAAGAGAGAATCCACAAGTTAGCTAAAATACTTAGAGAGAAAGAAGTAGGCTTCAGTCTTCGGACTGCAGGTGTCGGTGTTATTAGCTGCATCATACAGAGGGATGAAGGGAGGACCCCTATGAGGCACTCCTTTCATTGGTCGACAGAGAAACTCCACTATGAGGAAGAGCCTCTATTACGCCACCTGGAACCTCCTCTGTCAATATATCTTGAATTGGTATTTAGTTATTTAACTATAGTGTAAACTGATTTCTCTACACATGTCAGTTTGACATTTAAGTTCATTAACCTTTGTTCTAATACAGGACAAGCTCAAGGGCTATGAGAATATACAATACACTCCCTCCCGAGACCGTCAATGGCACCTATACACTGTTTTAGAGAAGCCACTACCAATTCAGAGGATGTTTCTCAGAACCCTTGTAAGGCAGCCAACCTCCAATGAAGGGTTCATGGGGCTGGACATGGAAACAAACAGATCCCAATTGTCTCTGTCTTTCACTTCGAGGAGCATTTTGAGGTCCTTAAAGACTGCAATGGAAGAGTTGGAACTTCGTGTTCATAATGCTACTATCAAATCTGACCATGCTCATATGTATCTCTATATCTTACAGGAGCAACAAATAGATGATCTCATGCCATATTCAAAGTAATCAATTCTATACTCTTGTTCCATAAATTCTCTTTCAAAATATACTTCTGTTTATGATGTCTTATATTTGATATTGTTGCCAGGAGTGTTGAAATAGATGCTGGGAAAGAAGAAGCTGCAGTTGAGATGATCTTGGAAGAGCTGGCACATGAAATCCATGAATCTACTGGGGTGAAAATGCATCGGTTAGGTGTTTGTGTGTGGGAAGTGAAGCTCTGGATAACATCTGCTGGACAAGCCAATGGTGCTTGGAGGGTTGTGGTTGAGAATGTGACTGGTCACACCTGCACTGTGCATGTAAGTGTTTTATATTACTTTGTGTTATACAAAGGAGGGTCTTTTACCTACCCATGCTTTTCATTGAGTGGCACTCTGAAGGGTGGCTTTGAAACTAGACTGACAATTGGCAAATAAAGGCATCAGTCCCATTTGTTATACTTGAATGCTAGATTATGGCTTTTGGTGAAGGGTTCTGGTCCTCAAATAGATCAAGATCTGTGCTTGGTAGTGGCAATTTGATAAATCAGCTGGCATTGGGGCTGTTTGGTGCAGTTCTTGTAAGCTGAAAGCTGATAATCAGATTTTAGAAATTAGAAGTAATCCTTCCTCTACTTCGCAATAATCAGTTGTTTTTTAGCTTATATAAGCTATTTCTATCTCATTAGTTGTAAGCAAAAGTTGCACCAAACTCTGGCACATATTTCCAAAATAAATATAAAGAAAAGAAAGGCTATAAGCAGCCTCATAAGCTGCACCAAACATGGCCATTGTCTCATTAAAATTATATTTCGTTTTTTGCCAAGCTATCACGATTAGATGGTGCAGTTAAAACCATTCCCCAATTTCTGTCTTTGATTAAACCCTATATCCATGCCATACGGATGCAGCAAAGTTCTCATGTTTAGTTATATCAAATGCCTAAAGATATGAACATGGTCCAAAGATAATGTCGGTTATCATAATGTTCAGATATACCGAGAGTTGGAGGATTCCAGCAAGCAAAAAGTGGTATACCATTCTACCTCTTTGGGGGGCTGTCTACATGGCATACCTGTGAATGCGCCGTATCAGACTTTGGGAGCTCTTGACCGGAAACGGCTTGTGGCCAGGAAAAGCAACACCACATACTGCTATGATTTCCCACTGGTAAATACTTTCAAACCCTTATTTATGTGTAATTACAGCTATAATGCTCTATATTTGTATTCTTGAAGATGAATCTTGGTTGCAGGCGTTTGAAACGGCCTTGGAAAAATTGTGGGCATTCCAATTCCTGGGTAGTAGCAAAGTCAAGGGTAAAGTTGTCAAAGTCATGGAGCTCACATTTTCTGATAGAAAAGATACTTGGGACACTCCTCTTGTTGCTGTGGAGCGCCCACCTGGGATGAATGATGTTGGCATGGTGGCGTGGACTATGGAAATGTCTACGCCGGAGTTCCCATCTGGGAGGACAATTTTGATTGTAGCAAATGATGTGACTTTCAAAGCTGGATCTTTTGGTCCGAGGGAGGATGCATTTTTCCTTGCGGTGACAGATCTTGCTTGTGCTAAGAAACTGCCTCTAATTTACTTGGCAGCAAACTCAGGCGCTCGTATTGGGGTAGCTGAGGAAGTGAAATCTTGCTTTAAAGTCGGTTGGTCTGATGAATCAAGCCCAGAGAGCGGTTTTCAGTATGTCTATTTGACTCCTGAAGATCATTCACGAATTAAGTCATCGGTGATAGCACATGAGTTAAAGCTATCAAGTGGAGAAACCCGATGGGTAATAGATAGCATTGTAGGAAAAGAAGATGGCTTGGGGGTCGAGAACTTGTCTGGGAGTGGAGCCATTGCCGGTGCATATTCAAGGGCATACAGGGAAACCTTCACTTTAACGTATGTGACGGGAAGAACCGTTGGCATAGGTGCTTATCTTGCTCGTCTTGGTATGCGTTGCATACAGAGACTCGATCAGCCTATTATTCTTACTGGTTTCTCTGCACTAAACAAATTACTGGGACGAGAGGTATACAGCTCCCACATGCAACTCGGTGGACCTAAAATCATGGCAACCAATGGGGTCGTTCACTTGACTGTCTCCGATGATCTTGAAGGGGTGTCTGCTATTTTGAAGTGGCTAAGCTTTGTCCCACCCTACTCGGGTGGCCCACTTCCCATTTTGGCTGCTTCGGATCCTCCAGAGAGACCCATTGAATACTTCCCTGAGAATGCATGTGATCCCCGTGGAGCTATTTGCGGTGTTCTAAATGGTAGCGGGAAGTGGCTGGGTGGTATGTTTGACAAGGATAGCTTTGTTGAGACCTTGGAAGGTTGGGCAAGGACAGTTGTGACGGGAAGAGCAAAACTTGGAGGAATCCCGGTAGGAATAGTTGCTGTTGAGACTCAGACTGTGATGCAAATTATCCCTGCAGACCCGGGGCAGCTTGATTCCCATGAAAGGGTTGTACCTCAAGCTGGGCAAGTATGGTTTCCCGATTCTGCATCAAAGACAGCTCAAGCATTGATGGATTTTAACTACGAAGAGCTCCCACTTTTCATTCTTGCTAATTGGCGAGGCTTTTCAGGTGGGCAGAGGGACCTTTTCGAAGGGATCCTCCAGGCTGGATCAACCATTGTCGAGAACCTTAGAACGTACAAACAACCTGTTTTTGTATATATCCCTATGATGGGTGAGCTACGTGGCGGGGCGTGGGTGGTCGTGGATAGTAGGATCAATTCAGACCATATCGAAATGTACGCAGAACGGACGGCTAAGGGAAATGTCCTCGAACCAGAAGGGATGATCGAGATTAAATTCAGAACGAAGGAGCTTCTGGAGTGCATGGGTAGGCTTGATCAACAGCTGATCAATCTGAAGAAAAAACTTCAGGAAGCCCGGAGTACTGGGGCTCATGCAACTTCTGAATCTCTGCAGCAGCAGATTAAAGCTCGGGAGAAGCAGCTTTTACCGGTATACACTCAGATAGCTACGAAATTCGCTGAACTACACGATACTTCACTGAGGATGGCGGCGAAAGGGGTAATCAGAGAAGTTGTTGACTGGAATAATTGCCGATCTTTCTTCTACAAAAGATTGCGCCGGAGAGTTGTTGAGGGGTCATTGATCAAGACCGTGAAAGAAGCTTCCGGTGACCAGCTGTCTCACAAATCTGCAACGAACATGATCAAGAAGTGGTTTTTGGATTCCAAGATTGCAGGAGGCAGAGAAGATGCGTGGGCCGATGATGAACGTTTCTTTGCCTGGAAGGATGATCTGAGGAACTACGAGGATAAACTACAAGAGTTGCGAGTACAGAAAGTATTGCTTCAATTATCAAATATTGGTGATTCACCATTAGATCTACGAGCTCTACCTCAGGGACTTGCTGCCCTTCTACACAAGGTAAGCCATTACACATGAGTTCTTGCTTTACAGCATATTTTCCTTTTTTCTAGGAATTAAGGATTATTTTTTGATTTTAATGTAGGTGGAACCATCAAGTCGAGCACAATTGGTTGATGAACTTCGAAAAGTGCTTGGTTGATTAGATTGCTTGTAGTTCACCAGCAGGTATGTGTTAGCTTGTTTTGATGGTTGCGCCATAGTTCTATTCTAGTGATTTCAAATTTCGCCAGTGGGTGAATGAAATAGGGGGAGCTTTGTGATGAGTTTCTTTGTCGTTGTGTAAGTGTATATATAGATTGTCTGAGTTGATTTAGGATTGTAATCTTCAATTGTTTTAGGAGGAAATGGACCAGCTTGTCAGGCTCTTCATGGATTCTTGAACGGTCGATTAATTATTTGCTTATATCTCATTTTTCATGTAATAGTCTAGGAAGAAAATAAATGTCTATCAATGAATACAATACTAGGCATCTTAGTATGAATTCACTATTTTTGCTTCCCAATGATTAAATACAGAATTGTAGAAGAGTTGTTGTGTTCTTGTTATTACAGATACATCATAAACTATATTGAAATTGAAGGGCATGCAGATTTTCATTCTCCATCACTTGTTTTTCTGCTTGATCTTATGCTTCTCTTTTTCTTTCTCTTTCTCTTCCTTCTCTTTTTCTTTCTCTCTTTCTTCTCTTTTTCTTTTCGTTTCTGTTCTTCGCATTTCTTCTGTTCTTTCTCTTCTTTCCTTCTCATCTCTTCTTGTGCTTGTTTCTTCTTCTCCTTTTCCTTTTTCTCTCTCCTCCTCCGTTCTTCTGCTTCCTCTCTCTCGATTTCTTTTCTTTTCCTATCCACCTTCTCTTTAGCCTTCCATGCTTCCTTCCTCTCCTCCTCTCTTTCCTTATCTTTCTTTCTCTTCTTCATCTCCTTCAATTCTTTTTTTGTCAGCTCTCTTTTGATTTTGAAACACATTTTGGTTTACCAGATAGCTCTCCTCCTCAGAATTACTCTCTCTCTCTCTCTCTCTCAGTGTTTGTTTGGCACTTTGTGGTGTGGCTTTGGGTGATAAAAAGCCACTTCTAACATTTGATATTTCTTGTTGTCTTGCCGTCCAAAGGCTATTGGTGCCATTTGTTTTGTACTGTATTACTTGGAATATCAGTCAGTTGATCCTACACTTCAGTGCTAAGCATGAATAATTTAGGGTAAATTACACTGACCTCCTGAAGTTCGGAGAAAATACAGTAAGTTTTACAAGTTTGATATAATTTCATCGGACTTACCTTAATGTTTTAATTGCTATAACCTCTTAGTCTTATTTTTATTAGAAATTCGTTAGTCAAATAAATGAAAAACTGATATTGTTGTCTCTTTTACACAACATATATTTTACCTTATTTATTTTAATGTTTTCTTGTCATATGCATTAGTTTTGTCCCTTTAGCATTACTAGAAGAGAGATAAATGTAATTATGTTAAAATTGTGAAGTTTCTTGTATTTTTTTATTTTATTTTATTTTAAAATTTGAGATGAGTTCAGTGTAATTTAGCCATAATTTTAATTGGAATTGGTGGCATTACTGACTCCTTGCATTGCAAGATTTTATTTTATTTTAATTGAAATTATTCGGATAATTTCATCAAGCCAATCAATTTTGAATGTATTCCAAATAATTTAAGAAGTTTCAAATTATTTGTATAATAAATGTAATATCAGTTTTTAAAAACTGTCTTATTTGTCATGAAGGGTTTTATGGTTATAGAAAATGTCTTATATGACATAATTGAATAAATCTAATGGTTAGTGTTGTTTTCTGAATAATGATCCTTCAAGCATAGGCAATTTTGCTAGTTTCTAAATATTACAAATGATTTTTGCATTTTCCCTAAATTACCTTAATTATTCAGAAAATACGATAAAATAAGTCTTATTTTTAGGTTTTTCCAATATTTATTGATTTATTTATTTGTCTCTTTTTGGCCAAAGTTCGGTTTTAAGCTTTTAAATTACTATTTAAACTCACCAAATTTATAAATATATTAGGCCTACTTTAGGAACAGGTTATTTTAATAATTTTTTGACTTTTTACGAAAAGTTATTCAGAAAGTAAAGAGAATGATGTGATAATTTATAATGACTTTTTAACTTTTTGACTAACATATGTAGTCTCCAAACGAAACCTCAGTCAAACTCTGAAATTTAAATTTATCAAGTTAAACCCCCAAGGCTGAGTTACACCACTAATGCCAATCATTGACTTTGAGTGATTATGTCGTGGTGTTTCAGGAAGTTGGTAAAGAGTAAATTTTTTGATTTTTCAGCTTTTTTTTGTGGCTTTTGTTGGCTAAAAAAGTTGGCTTTTTGTGATTTTTTTGTGTAAAAAAGTTAAAAAGTAAAAAAAAAAACTATTTTTTTTAGCATGTTTCCAAAATGCCCGAGTCATTTACTTGGCTTCCAATGAAATGAAATGGGGATGTTGATGTCTACTATAACTTTCCTCAAAAAAATCCGCAAGGGTGGCCCAGTGGGTGAGGGAAGAAAACCTGGAGTCTGGGAGTTTGCTTCTCCTGGAGGTCCTAAGTTCGAATCCTACTCCCCACGGGTTACTGTGCGGGCCACTGGAGGTTTGCCCGGTCGTTAACTTCAGGGCCCTCGAATTTTTTATTTAACAGAATTAAGTGAAAAAGTGAAATATCTAACTGTTCACCTACAAAATAATAAAATTATCTGAATTATTAATTAAAATAAAATTTTAATATTATAAAAAGTTATTAATTAACTTGATGATTTATTAATAAAAGGACGTATTTGTTATGAAATTAGAAATCTTAAGAGGCATAATGTAATTTTTAAAATTATAGGAATAATTTATAATTTAAATAAATTTCAAGAAGTGTGTTTGTGATTTTTCCAAAAATAAAAAAACAATACAACACAGAGGATGTTGATGTCTTTGTTCCAACATTAGGAGACTATTAGACAATGGTTGTGAACTATGTGAGAGCAAACGTTAAATAGTAGATCATGCATCGGCTATGGCGCTGTTTGACAACCCTAATTTGAGGCTAAAATAGTTTTAAAAATTAAAAAAAGAAAAAGAAAAAAAGAAGACAAATAGTCTCAAATAATTTCTAAACTAATAATTTATATATATATATACTTTTTTTTAAAAAAAAAAGAAAAGAAAAGCTAAAGGGCAATCAGCAGCCTCCACTGTCAATGTGACAGTGTAGGTACTGTGCACTGACAGTTATCCCACAGCTATTAAATTATAATTTTGTCCTTTTAGATTAATTTTGAAAAATGAGAGGTTAGGGATAAATTTGTCATTTTAACTTCAACCATCATTTTTACATATTTTTCAATACAACAATTCAAATAAAAATTCATCTTATCTTTTTAAATACAAAAGTTAAACAGTCCCGTTTTGTAGCTCGAAAAAGTTGGGGTTCGAAATGCAAAACGACGTCGTTTTGCTTTTTTTTTTTTTTTTTTTCTCTCTGTTCTGAAACAGAGAGGATGAAGAAGAAAAAGAAGAAGAAAGGGGCTGGGTTTCGACATCAACATCAACATCAACACCAACACCAGCATCATCACCTTTTTTTTTTTTTTTTTTTCATTATCAAACACAAATTTTCATATTCATCAACATCATCACCAGCATCATCATCATCAACAAATTTTTATTTATTTTTTTTTCATATCATCAAACACAGATTTTCAAAATCAAAATAAAAAAACAAACACAGATCTCGCACCGTTGCCCATCACCATCTCGCACCGTCGCCATCGTCGCGCCGTCGCCATCGCTCTCTCTCTTTCTTCTCTCTTCTCTCTTCTCTCGCTTTCTCTCACTTCTCTCGCCCCTGTTTCTGATACAAAAGAGAAATAAGAAAAAAAAAATCATCGAAAAACGACGTCGTTTTTCGATTCGGGCCAATCGAGCCTTTGACTATTCGAGCTACAAGCTATTTCTCAAAGTCAAAATAACCTACTCAAATAACTAAATAATTACAAAAATTTTAAAAATAACCACTTCCCAAACAAAACCTATATTTGCTGGCTTCATCCAAGATGAAAATAATGCAACGGAGCAGTCGATTATTAGCATTTTGACAAGGAAGTATTTCATGTAATGGGTAACATCATATGACCGAGATGACGTGTTATATTTCTTCTATTTATTAATTGCCGTGTTGTAAAAATAAGATTTAAACAATCATTTTATGTTTAACTCGAGATATTGAGTGTTTGGTCATAATAAATTTCAATTTCACTTTATATCACATATTAAATAATAAGTAAAAAGATACGCTACGCTATCCCAATCACGTGATATACCTATTACTTGGGGTGGGCGTGGGTCGGTTGCGGTCACAGAACTTTCAATCCGCCATCCGACTGCCAGATTGGCGGATTGAAGAAAATCAATCCGCATCCGTCCACCAATTCGACGGATGTGGATTGAACGGTTTGGCGGTTTGGCAGATGAATGCGAATCGGTTTGGCGGTTTAAAATTTTATAAATTTTTAACATAATCCAACTTATGCACTTCCTTAAACAAAAAAAAACAAAAAAAAAAAAGTATTACAGTTAATGACTTTAAAAAATATTACAATCATTACATGCCTCATCCAAAATAAGAAAGTTTGAAACTTTAGAATATCACAATCACTGCATAGCTCATCCGCATACTACAATCACAGCATAAACAATCATTTTATGTTTAACTCGAGATATCGAGTGTTTGGTCCTAATAAATTTCAATTTCAATTTCAATTTCAATTTCACATATTAAATAATAAGTAAAAAGATACGCTGCGCTATTCCAATCACGTGATATACCTATTACTTGGGGTGGGCGTGGGTCGGTTGCGGCCACGGAACTTCCAATCCACCATCCGTCTGCCAGATTGGCGGATTGAAGAAAATCAATCCGCATCCGTCCACCAATTCGACGGATGTGGATTGAACGGTTTGGCGGTTTGGCAAATGAATGCGAATCGGTTTGGCGGTTTAAAATTTTATAAATTTTTAACATAATCCAACTTATGCACTTCCTTAAACAAAAAAAAACAAAAAAAAAAAAGTATTACAGTTAATGACTTTAAAAAATATTACAATCATTACATGCCTCATCCAAAATAAGAAAGTTTGAAACTTTAGAATATCACAATCACTGCATAGCTCATCCGCATACTACAATCACAGCATACCTCATCTACATAAAGTATAACAATTTGTAAAAATAATTCAAACCATCAAAATTATGAACATAATAGTAGTAGAGATTGTATGTCTCTGTATTATTACATCTATATTTGTTTTTGAAAACAAAAACCAACCAGCATATATCATATTTTTTATTTATTATTTTTAAAGATAGATTTAAAAACCAAAAAATATAAATAAATAATACGTTTATTTTTTTCAATTCAAAAAAGATATTCAAATTGAAAAAAAAATTTCAACAGAATATTTAAACTCTTTTTTAATTAAAAACACAAACAAAATATTTAAATAAATTGAAAAT